AGGATATGTGTTCAGAAGGTCATCACTGTGGGGGCCATGACCGCTGCCTAATACATGACCCATATTTATAAATCCCACAATCTATCCTTTGCCTTCGAGGGATGGGACATGGCTACCGAATTCAAATTCGATTCTGTGAGCGTCATTCGTTGGTATGCTGTATTACGCTTGGAAGTACTTATTCAAGGGGCCAAAGAGCCGCAGGTGGCTCGTGAGCCGCAGTTTGCTGACCACGGGTAGGCAGTGCAACTTTCAGTCTGTAAGAGTTGGAAAATAAGATCAAAATATTAAATTCCCAAAGAAGTAACAGCACATTTACCAGAACCCAAAAGCACACGTCTCAGATGGAGACACCAAACAGGGCACCAAGGCAGATCATGGTTAAATTTGAGGAATTAGGACTGAAAAGAGGATATTAGGGCTTCCCAAGATTTCAAAATAAAAAAGCGAGGTCAAGGTCACATAAAACAGGAACCAGAAGGACTGGATCCTCTCAGTGGCCGCGTTGGGAGGGGACAAGGATGGCTTGGTGTCTCCAGCGTGCTAAGTGAGAAGTAATGAAGAGAGAATCCATGGTCTGGCTGAAGTTTATGGCGAACCTATGACACGCGTGTCAGAGGTGACACGCGAACTCATTTTTTTGGTTGATTTTTCTTTGTTAAATGGCATTTAAATATATAAAATAAATATCAAAAATATAAATCTTTGTTTTACTATGGTTGCAAATATCAAAAAATTTCTGTATGTGACACGGCACCAGAGTTAAGTTAGGGTTTTTCAAAATGCTGACACGCCGAGCTCAAAAGGTTCGCCATCACTGGGCTAAACCATCAACTGAAGGCGAGGGTCAAATAGGGCATTTTCGGACAGGCTAAAATCTTGAAAAACTTGAACAACAGACCCCTTTTCAAGGAACTACAAGGGAACATGTTGAACACTTGGAGAATCTGGAGGATGCAGAACCCAGGAAGCCGGAGCTTGAACACAGGCATCTTGGGAAAACAGCTGTGCAAGCACCTGAGGCCAGGGCAGCGGGGACAGGAGCGGAGGGTGTAGAGGCCCACACCCGGAGAGGCTTGTTGGGGCGGAGGAAGACTGGCCGGTGGGTCTATAGGGCACACCAGCAACTTTATCTCTGGGAAAAGCAAAAAGCTGTACATCACAGAACCCTACTTGGTTTAGCACAAAATATTTAGTCATCACAGTATAAACTCTAATGAACAAAATGTGGAAAGTAAATATACTGGGTGAGTGGGGAGGGGAAGGGAGAGCAGGCAGTGACTGCAGGGGTGTCAGGAACCTGGAAATCGCGTGTTCTCTGAATTGAAAACGCATTGTGCACAGAAAGTTCTTCAGTAACTTTCTTGAGTTTCCCAACAGGCCAGCAATCAAGCCATTCATTCTCTTACAGACAAACACTGGCTCAGCTTTCTGCTAACTGAACCACCACAGATCTGCATCATCCCTTTCTCTTTCCTGTGTCCTTGGGCTGCCTAAATTATCAGTTGGATTGATAGGAGCAATATGGTTTCACATCCGACCCTCAGGCAGTGTTGTAGGTAGCGTACCCTTTCACTGTGGCACCCGAATGCCACTTTGGATCAATGTGGATTCGATGGGCGTCCCGTTCCTCTGCTTTTCCCACGCTATCCTTAAGGGTATTTTTCTCTGCGTAGGCAGCCAAGCCAAAATCATATATAATAGAAGATAAGATTTAGCCTACTTCCTCTTTAGGTAATATTTTCATTTTCCACTTAAATGCAGATGTCGTACTTCTTAATGAGCCTCGGTAATGTCCTAATAGGAATACATTTCACATCGCAGCAAAGTTCTGCAGAGCCACCCACTCAGGCTTGAGAGTGGCTGCTGGCCTGGTGTCCGGTCGGTACGTGTCTCCGTGTCCAGGACCCCACGTGTTTCTGCACGTCTGCAAGGCCAGCGAGTGCCTTGTGGAAGAGTGCGTGTGGCTTCCCGTGGGCACCGTTGCTCATTCGTGGAGCTGCCCATCTTCCCTATGCGGCGGTAAGAGGGCACGGTCACCCTCTTCACTCATCTTTGGGTCCCTCAAGCACAAATAGATACATTTGTTGAATGAAATGATAGGAAGCTGAGATTCTGGATTGAAGAGGGATATTTTTAAAATTTAATTTTATTTCAAACAGCACTAAAAAATTACAGGAATGTTTAAAATAAAGCTAAGTAAAATGGCGTGTCAATTTAAGAGTAAAATATTACCTGTGGATAGGGCAGAGTGTGCATGAGCAGCATTTGAATGCCCACCACTTTTCACAGGCACTGGAGGCGAGGGGTGACCTTCACAGCCCAGGGTGCTGGTGTCAATAAGCCGAGGAAAAGCCAGCCACAGAAAACACATTGACAATCCACCAAGAACTCTACCACATCATAAACTGTTTGAGATCATCAGCGGTGACTTTATTTCATATAAAAGTTACATTGAAAGAAGAGGTTGAAAAGTCAAGTATACTTGATTTGCACATACTTGCCAAGTCTCACAGGATTCAACCACTTGGATAATTTATTGATAAACAAGATATACATATTAAAAGGCTCACATCGAAGCCCAATACACGAGTCCAACCCAGACAACAGATGTGCAAAAGAATATGCAAAACAATCTCAGGAAACTCTCCGGATGGGTGCCTGGCCCTGGGACAGTGACAGCCCCCAGAGCTCACAGTTTCTGCAGTGACTTGGTTCACTTCCACATCCCACAGCTTTGTTCACTGGCTACCATTGAGTCTCGAGTAGGTCCCTTTGTGGTTTTGCATCAGCAGTGGTAGAAACCCTGATTAGGAAAGGGTGCGGATCACTTAAAAACAGAAACAGAAACGGTTCACAGATGGACAGAAAGGCATGAAGACCAGGAGGGAGACACCAACTCTTCTCAGCGTGGGAGGCAGGCTCACGGAGACCCTCGGACTGTCACAGACGCTTCCTCATGGGTCCCGCAGAACATGGACAGACCAGGCAAGTTTAAGGCGAGTCCCCAAGGAGGGGAGCTGTTTGCTTTCTGGCATAATTTTAAGCTCTGCACCAAGGGTCCTTTTTTTTTTTATCACTGGTGACATGGGTAGAGAAACAAAAATGATAAAAAAAAAAAAAAAGAAAGAAAAAGAAAAGAAAGAAAAACAAGCTGTTGCCATCCTGAATATTCTTTGCAAATGAGGGACACAGAGTCTAGGGTTCATGGCCTGTGGTCCCTCACCTTCTCAGTGATGCCAGTGGCCGACCCCTCAGTGTGTACCTGTTGCTGTGCCAGCCCCTCTTCCTACACGCCCACCACGCTGCACAGGTGAAGGCCGCCAGGGACTTGGCTCTTCTCTCACCGAGGTGCCGTTTATACACTGCTAATTTGGGCAAAACTGAAAAAGTCAGTTCCAAGGCCCTCATGTGCTCAAGATTTTTAAGATAAAACGAAAACAGGAGGGCAACAAAGGACCACACAGGAATGATTGTTCTTTGGATCAAGATATTCTCCAGTTTGCAATACATTCATAGTGAACCCACGGGAAGAGGATCCCGGGGCAGCTCTCCCCGCTTCCCTGAAACGTCGGTTTCTAAAAAATAGTTAGTTTGCTGCTCACGGCCGTTAAGTGTTACATCGCCTAAACAACACTGTCAATTTTAAAACACACATGCACACGCGCACACACACGGACACAGACACGCACACAGACTTGCTGCAGGGTCAAGGAAGGCCCCTCCGGGCAGTGGGAGTGTACCTGGAGCCGCCTTCGTGTGCAATGCACAGATCTTTTGCAAATTCAGTGCGAATGACAGAGCTAATGGAGACCAAAATGTACTTCTACGTAAATGCCCTCTGGACCAAGGGAGTGCACTAATGAATCGCAGGGTCAACAGGACTCCCTGCCACCGCTCGTCGGAGAATCCTTTCACTGGATTTCAAAGAATTTATCAATTCTTTTCTTCTTAGTGATTGGAAACAGCAGCTCAGTACACAGGATTTAATAACCCATGTAATATCACACAGCTTCTCAGGAATGCAAAGTAGTCTTAACAAAGTCCTAACTGGAGGGACGAGAATGACATTTGGCTTCTTCATGTGGCCAGCTCCCTTCCGTTAGTTGTACAGGTGAAAACACCTGCAGCATCCAGTTCCTAGTTTGGAAAATCTGCCACCTGCGACTGTAAGTATGTAAGATTCTGCTTGCTGCAAGCAACTGGTTTGTGTAGGTCCCATTTGCCCTATTGGTCACAGATGAGTTGTTGATACCCTTTCAGACACCAAATAAATAATTTAAAGTCCATTCACAAGCCCCAGCAGGAGAGGCGTCTCAAACGGAGAACTCCGGGCCTCCTTTTCTGGGTCTCATTTGTAGTCGCCTAAATCGGAAGCCGACGAAGGGATTTATCCAGAGGAGGGAGGGCGGCCCCCCAAAGACAGACTTCATCCCCTCCCATCGCAGCCGCCGCTCCCAGGTCGGCTCCTCGCTTTTCAGTCTCTCGATCTCCTGGAAGCAGAAAGAAAGGCGTGTGGGTGGCAGTGCCAGGAAACCCCAACACAGCCAGGTTAGGCCGAGTGCTGAAAACGTGGAATCACCACCGAACTGTCCCTCTGCATCTGAGATCGAGGTGGAGGTGACGTGTGGGCTCTTTCCCTGGCACCAGCCCCACGGCTTCCCTGAGCACAGCCAGGCTACAGCCGCCTGGCCAGGCCAACATCACACAGCCAGGCAGTGGCACCAGCGACGAGGACTGCTGAAGAGCCACAGTGGTGAGGAAGAGAGCTGGTCCGCCGGGCCCAGGGCAGCCTTTAATTCATTTACTACAAATATTTATCGAGCGTCCGCTCTAGGCCTACAGTTCAAAGGCATGAAGGCGATCAACTCCTGCAACTCCCTCAGCTGCTACAGATTGGGTCTCCTAGAAACTGGGAACCTGCCTGGCTCTGTTGACTCTCAGGTCATACTGATCCCTGAAATATGCACTCGCATAAGGACAGGAAGAACAAATACAGCGAGCCTGTCGGAGCTTATCGAGGCGGCCCAATTAATCTCCGAGTTAATAATACACACCCACCTGCTGTGGACATTAGAATTTCCCATTTACTCAAGCTCTCACCAAACCTTAAGCAAACACAGCCCAGGACGAAGCATACCGTTTCATCATTGCATATTGAGTGGATCTGGGTGCCGAACATAACTGCAGTGAAAGTGAAAAACAGGAGACCCTCAAGGCACAGGAAGATCAACAGGATTACAGTGATCGGAGGTGAAAAATCACTGCATTCTGCGAACGAGAGAAAGGATGTCATGAGTTTAGCTCCCAGGACCCTCACAGTAGCAGCCCTGGGCCAGCTTCCAGGGAGAATGTGCTCATCCTCTAAGTAGGCACACTCATTGTTCACCAAGGGGCGGAGGAGGTCCGCCTTCCGAGCGAAAATTCACACCACCATTTCCGGTCAGCAGTTTCCAAAGATTCCATAATAACTGAGGTTTCTATTAAGACTGTATCTGTGTATTAAAGTGCAACAAAAGCCGGAGAAGAAGAGGCAGGTGTACCACGCACAGGAGTACACACAGGCCGCCTCCCCGCCCCTGGGGCAGGACAGCTGTACCTGCCGGGGTATCCAGGGCTGGACAGGCCCTGCCCACCTTCACCACAGTCATTTAGTCACGAGGAACACGCTGAACAGTGCCTAGCTGGCTAACCAGGTTTGGTGGGAACAATACTAACTTCCCTCTAGTCTTCATATCTGCAAAATACAAATGAGACTATCTAATATAAATTATCAATTGACTGAGGAAGAATAGTTAAATAGAGAACTTCATTATACTAGGAATAAGGCAGTGTTAATACCTACCCATATTCTTTTCTTAAAAACAAAAAAACAACTCCTAAAATAACAGCTAGGATTTCTTTCAAAACTGGAAAATCAGTTTTCCTTTAAAGCCTTTCCCTCATCACCAGCAGCGTGACTCCAGGAAAGATGCGCACGGCCTTACCTGTCCACTGCCCCCGGACGCAGGAAATGAACTGGAGTCCACAGAGAATCAGAGCGTGCACTGAAGACAGAGCTATGTACATCTGCAATAATGGAAAGCTGGTCACATGGTGAGCAATCACCTATTTCTAGGAGCAAAGGCTGCTTAATCTGATGTGGACGCCTCCATTGTATTTGTCAATAAAATAAATGAGGGAAGGCATCAATCGAGTAGTGACATCTCCTACCCCAGAGCATGCTGGACCAAGTTACGTAATTTTATAGGAAAACACACAGTAGGGAATCATGTTCTAACTCCAGCAAGATCTTATTAAGAACTGTGTGTCTGAGAGAACTAAATGACAGTAAAACACCTAAAGCACCATAAGCAACATATATTTATCTGTCGGGTAACTTCCTTCCAATCACAGCACAGAATTATAATTTGAATCCAGAGAAAAGGTTGGAGGGAAACTGGTCTGAGGTTAGAATAAATTCACCAGCTCCAGGCAAGATTCTAGTTTAAGAATTTAAAACTCAATGTAAGTTACCACATAAATATTTCTACTCACAGTAAAGAGCACAAAAAATCTCTGATTCTTCTCTCCTACACAATTGTTCACCCACGGGCAGTGATGATCCATTTTCCGAATACATCTTTTGCAAATACTGAAAAGGAGAGGTTGGATTATTAGTGTTCCGTGCTCTGAGGGAACACAACCCCAAGCCATGCATCCAATACACAAAATTGTAATGCTGGTCAGAGGTCACTGAGGGGGACCGCCTGCCCTAGGGAGGGGCCAGGATACCTGCAGTGGTGGGCATTCGGGCTGCCCTAGGGAGGGGCTGGGATACCTGCAGTGGTGGGCATTCGGGCTGCCCTAGGGAGGGGCTGGGATACCTGCAGTGGTGGGCATTCGGGCTGCCCTAGGGAGGGGCCAGGATACCTGCAGTGGTGGGCGCGTTCGGGCTGCCCTAGGGAGGGGCAGGGGTACCTGCAGTGGTGGGCGCGTTCGGGCTTGATGCAGCAGCACTTTGGGCACTTGTAGATCACTTCTCCAGGCTTCAGCTGCAAACTCTCCATGTATTCTTTAGTAGCGTTTCCTCTGGGTACTGCTCCCTACAGTTTAATAATAATGTTTAGTTAAGGAGAAGGAAAAGTTAAAAACAGTCAATAAATGTAGGAATATATATCATGAAATAATTAGTTACCACTTAAAGCATATTAGTATGAAAAATAACTATTAGGCAGGACCAAAAGTTTTATTTTGCATGGAAAAAATATGTATTAAAATGAACTCAAAGTAAATACCTTATTATCCCTCATAAACTGGTAAGTCACATGAGTTGGTTTTTTTTTTTAAATTTAAATTCTTTATTGTTTAAAGTATTACACGAGTCTCCTTTTCCCCCCCTTGACCTTTCCCCGGCTGCTCCCACCCCCCAGCACATGCCCTCACCCCGCTACTGTCTGTGTCCATTGGTTATGCTCATATGCATGCATACAAGTCCTTTGGCTGATCTCTTACCCCCACACCCCACCTTCCCTCATAGGTTGGACAGTCTGTTCGATGCTTCTATGTCTCTGGTTCTATTTTTGTCATCAGTTATGTTGTTCATTATATTCCACAAGTGAGTGAGAGCATGTGATATTTAGTCACAGGAGTTTTTCCTAGCTAGTGCAAGTTCCACAGAGCAAGGTTTGTGAAGCCACTCCAACTCAAGGGCAGCTGATGGTCACCATTTCCCTATCACCCCCTTCTAATGGGGGGGGGGGCTGATAACGCTGCCCAGTTTCCTATCAGCTGCCATAGGGAACGCTGAACAGAGCAATCTCACAAAGGGCTTATCTTGTTATATGTAACGCACTGTGTCTGCCAACCTAATCCACACTCACACTCACACCTGGAGAGGGGGCCCTGAGTAACCCACCCAGCTCAGAGTCTCTGGCCAGGGGTCAGGAGCTGTAACAGTCAGTGCACACGCCCCACAAGCTAGGGGAGCTGGGGAAAGATGAGCAACGGGGAAGCAACGGGAAGGCGTTAGGGAGAAGTGAACGAATGGCAAGAGGCAGAGCGCTGACGGCCAGGAGCTGTCTTCACAGAACCAGGTAGGCTGGAGGCCAGACACAGGGCAGTGGCCGCCTGAGCATCAAGCACTGGCCCCGAGAGGCTGCAATAGGGAGACAGACAAATCTTGTTAGAACCCCAGCTTTGTGTGGGGTCTCATTTTTGGATGCGGATTTACTCCAGCTCTCCCAGGCGCTGGAGGGTTAATGAAAGAACACGTTTGGCAGGGCACCTAGAGCACTGGCTCCTCCAAGGGTGCCCTTCATCAGCAGTTGGCACATGTCTTCTGAGAAGGCTGACATTCATAAAAAAGGCTGGGCCCTGGCCGGTGTTGCCTTGATCTTTGGGCAGTGGAGAGATGTAATGGTATATATATTTTCAGAATATATCAGAAAAAAGCCCAATATATATATATATATACTAGAGGCCTGATGCATGAAATTCGTGCACAGCTGCAGTCCCTAGGCCTGGCCAGTGATCGAAGCTCGAGCATCTGGCATGAAGGGCAGGTCCCGGCTGACCTCTGGGCCCTGGGCAGCACCTGGGCTCCCGGTTCCCCGCATGCCACCCGTCTGTTTGAGTCATGGCACCTGAGTCCCCACGTGGAGATGCAGTGAGCGTGGCCGGACGCTGCGGGTTGGGGCACAGTGTAGGCCTCTGGGCCACCCAGCGGCGATGCATGGAAGCTGGGCAGGCAGCACACTCTCTCCCAGCCAGCCTTGCAGACCGGCTCCTGCGCAAACCCACAGGGAGCCCAACCCGGCCCCTATGGTCCTGGTGGCTGCAGCCCAGCTCATCCTGAAGAGGCCATGCAGATGCGGGATGGGCTCCTCACGGGCACCTGGCACCTGAGCATGGGGGGCTGCCCTGGCGTGCGAGCCCTGGCATCCCGGGGGTGGGTAACAGGGGGAATAAGAGCCAGCTCAGCAGACACCCCGCATTCTCACCGCACCTCCGTCCCCGTCCCCCTCCCCCCCATCCCCAGGTAGCCGGTGAGAGGTCGCAGCCCCCTGCCTGGCACTGCGGGAGGTTGGTCGCTGCCATCCACCCCCAGTTCCCCGCCCCAACCTGGGGCCCGGCCCCGATCAGGTGATCAGGGTCAGCCGGCTACTGGTCGCTGTCTGTGGGGCAATCGGTTGAGGCCGGGGCCCCACCCAGCTCCCTCAGTGCCTGTGAGCCAGGCGGTGGCCCCATCCCCCACCTCTGGTCGCCCTCTGCAGGGCGATAGATCGGGGCCAGGTCCCCCGCCGCTGCCACTCCTGGTTGCTGTCTGCAGGGCGATTGGGCCCCTGCTCACACCCGCTTTGGCCTGGCGCCACCTGCTCACCTCCTCCACCATCCTGCCACAGTCCCGCTCTCATTGTGGCCCATTGGGGCCGGCAGCGCCTCCACTGCCGCCTGCTGCCATGTTCCGCACCGCCCCCTGGTGGTCAGCGCATGTTATAGTGAGCAGTCGAACTCCCAGTTGAGGGGACAATTGGTATATTAGGCTTTTATTATATAGGACTAGAAGCCTGGTGCACGACATTCATGCACTGGGGCAGAGGGGAGGGTCCCTCAGCCTGGCCTGAGCCCTCTTGCAGTCTGGGACCCCTTGGGGGATATCCGCTTGCCAGCTTAAGCCCAATCCCTAAACCAGCAGTCAGACATCCCTCTCACAGTCCGGGACTCTTGCAGTCCAGGACCCCTCGCTCCTAACCGCCCGCCTGCAGTGGAGGCGGGAGAGGCTCCCACCACCGCCGTTGTGCTCACCAGCCATGAGCCTGGCTTCTGGCTGAGTGGCACTCCCCCTGTGGGAGCACACTGACCACCAGTTGGCAGCTCCTGTGTTGAGCGTCTGACCCTGGTGGTCAGTGCGTGTCATAGCGACTGGTCGTTCTGCCATTCAGTCAATTTGCATATTAAGGTTTTATTATATAGGATAATTTCCGAGAGGGAGAGATAGAAACATCAATGATGAAAGAAAATCACTGATTGGCTGCCTCCTGCATGGCCCCCACTGGGGATCAAGGTCTCAACTGGGCATGTACATCGACTGGGAATTGAACCGTGACCTCTAGGTTCATAGGCGGACACTCAACCACTGAGCCACACCAGCCAACGCATATCCCACTTCTTAGCCCCTCAGAGCCTGTGTTTCATGCAGAAATGCACATTTCTGGAGAAAGAGCCTCACTGAGCCACTGGGAACATCAGGCCAGTGGTGCAGTGATAAAGAAACACGAGGTGACGCAAGGGCAGGAGCTAAGGGCCCTGGGGGACTGAGGAGGCAGTGGACAGGAAGGGACTCTACTGACCAGCAGGAGCAGCGCTAGAGCTCCTTAAAGCCAGGATGTGCAGGCTGGACCCCCGAGCCAGATCCAAACCTCTGTAGGCGAGGCCGACATACAAGTTTGAAAAGACTGAGGCCCATCAGCTCCAAGGCCCCAGCAAGCCCAGCATCACCAGCAGGAAGTAAGGCCTCCAGGAGGTGCTCTGGGGAAGTGGGACAGGAGGGACTGTGGGTAAAATGTGCCCCGCCCAACCCTCTACTACAGTTGACTTCCCTCCAAGCACGGAGGGAAGTCAGTTTCATCGTCTTAATATGGGGAAGCTGTTTTGTTCAAGGTCCTAGCATTTCCTAACACTCAATCTGTCTCCATAGGAAGATAAAAAAAGTTAAGGGTTTAAACTCTTATTTTTGAAAATTAAAATCAGAATGCTGGGTGCAACATTTTACTTAATTTACATATCCCAATTTGGAGTTGCAAATTGACATGCAAATTGACCGTACCTTCACTATGCCTTAAGCCATGCCCACCAGCCAATCAGAGCAACTATATGCAAATTAACCCCACCAAGATGGTGGCCGGCAGCCACGGAGCTGGAGCAAGCAGGAGGCTTGGTTGCCCCAATGATGGAGGAAGCCAACTTCCCGCCTGCCGCGGCCGGCTCTGAGCTCCACTCAAAGCAACAAAGTTTCAATTATAGAAGCTAAATAAACCCCAGATACCTGCTTTCAGCCAGCCGTGCCATGGAGCTGGAGCGAGCAGGAGGCTTCCCTCCCGCCCCACCCTGGCCGGCTCTGAGCTCCTCTCAAGGCTACAAAGTTTTTAATTATAGAAGGTAAATAAATCCCAGAATAAAAAAGAAAAAAAGGAGAGGCTGGGAGCTTCTGTCGCCGGGGAGCTTGGCCAGCCTGAAAACAGCCCTCAGCCCCTCACCCAGACTGGCCAGGCACCCCAGTGGGGACCCCCCACCCTAAAGGGGGTGTGGCCAGCCTGAAAACAGCCACCAGCCCCTCACCCAGGCTGGCCAAACCTCCAAGGGGTGAGGGTCCCCACTGGTGGGGGCTTGACCAGCCTGCAAACAGCCATCAGCCCCTCACCCAGGTGGTCAGGCACCCCAGTGGGGACCCCCACCCTGAAGGGGGTGTTACCAGCTGCAAACAGCCATCAGCCCCTCACCCAGGCTGGCCAGGCACCCCAGTGGGGACCCCCACCCAGAAGGGGGTGTGACCA